GAGAGATGATTCGCTATGTTTAGGGTGCTTCTGAGCAACCCTCAACCCTAAGCGTAAGTATCTCGCCGTAAACTCTAAACCAAGCACCTGAACCTAAACCCTAAACCCAGTAACTAAAGCCCCAAACCTTAAACTCCACACAACCCTGAACCCCAGCTGCCGAGCTCTAAACTCCAAGCCCTACCTGCATGACCCGACACTCTGAAACCTAGCTGCCTCGCTACAAAACCTCAAACCCCAAATCAGAATCTTAAACCCTCACCGGCCCTCACCCTTCTAAACACTGAGCTACTCATCCGAAACCACCCTGTCCTAAACCCTCCCTAGACCAGCACCCCGAGCACCCGCAGGGTAATCTAGGGTAAAGGAGTTTTTGGTACACTCTCACAACTCGGAAGCCAGGCGAGGTCTGCCAACTGTCTGCCAGGTGCAAGTCAGCGTGAAACGGAGAGAGGCTGCGCGAATTCTCGTACTATGCTTTGTTTTTTGAATGTGTGTTGAGCTTTTCACTCTGCAGAAGCGTCCAGCTCACCCGGAAGGGCTACACTCGTGCAAATGAGCATCTTACTCAAAGGGCTCAAGAAAACAACTGCCTCAGAACAAACACCTTAAAACATCACTTTCAGACTCAGGAAGGCGTTGATCCGGAACTCGGGTACGTCTACGCCGCACCCAGCGACCTGGCAACCGACGACGAGGGTACTCGACCACCCCAGAACTCGGACGGGCATCATGACTGCGACTTCGCTCAGCTCGACGTCGTTGCTGTGCAGGTATATAGTCGGAGAACACGGCGTGGAGGTAGGCGACACTGACGACGGCGAGATCCCACACCATGACACTATCCAGCACAGAGAGGATCTTCCGAGACTGAGCATCCAGCTGGCAGGTTCGTGACTGACCTATCCGAGGACTGCGCCAAGAACAAGAGATCATGAACGACCATCATCATGCGGTTGGACGGCAGACTGGACATCGAACGAAGTGACAACGCCATGCACGACCTCGTGGTCCTTGCAGCACTCCCAGAGGAACTGTAGGTAGCTGTTGAGTGACAAGTAGGTAGGTCAGGCTGTGGATCGAAGAAGGCGATGGAACTCGTCTGGGCAGCTGAGTTTCTCAAATCAGGGTTCATAAGCGTTTAGGGTTTCAGCACTCACACTCAAGCATTTAGGGTTTAGGGTTTTCTTTGCCTAGGCCGGCCGTATAGGGTTTAGAGTTCAGGGGTTCGGGCTTTTTGCCTCCTACTCCCTACACTCCTAACGCTCTAAACCCAAAAGTCTCAAGTCTAAAAACCTTACTTAAACTCACCGTTCCAAACCCTAAACCCTAAACCCCTAAACCCTAAACTCGCAAATCTAAACTCGAAACACTAATCAGCCCTAAACCCTAAACTCTTTTTGCATCGGGACTTGTGCATTCGCATTTTAACGTCTGAGCATACTACACCCTAAACCCTAAACCAACCCTGAACCTTAAAACCCTCAACCCTGATCCCTAAACCCTGAAACCCTAAACCCCTCAACCCCAAAACCCAGGTCTTAGGGTTCGGACCCCTGCGGCCTCCCAGCGAACGATGCCTTGGAGCGGAAGCACCGGCTGTGAGCTGGGGCCTCCCCGAGACGGTTTCAGGGTTTAGGGTTGCAGGTTTAGGGGTTTAGGGTTTAGGGGTTTAGGGGTTTTGGGGTTTTGGGTTTAGGGGTTGTAGGTTTAGGGTTTAGGGTTTAGGGGTTTTGGGTTTGGGGTTGACGTCTGAGGGTTTAGGGTTTATAGGGGTTGAGGGTTGAAGGTGTCGGGTTTAGGGTTTAGGGTTTGTCCTTTTTTTCTACTTCAAGCTTAATAATGCTGTTACTATCATTATTAAGTTTTGAACTGCTGGGTTTACTCTCGAGCTTTCGTTAACAGGGCTTTACAAGGAACTATAAGGTCTTGTTGAATCCTTTTACCAAAGCTCTAGAAGGGCTTTGTATGACGCTTTCTGCAGAGGCCGGGTGGTAGGCTGCAGACCGCTGCCGGCGGGTTTGAATTTTGGAGCCCTCTCGGGTCTTAGAGGTGTCTGGTTTCGGGTCTAGAGGGGTTTGCAGTTTGGAGTTGAGGGCCGTAGACTAAACCGTAATAAAGGGGCCTTAAAATAATTAGCATAGGGCTTTGGGGCCCATTATACTATAACTGTAAAAAGGAACGCCCAAAATAGCATGGGTAATTATTAAGGTCCCTACATTACCTCTTTCTGTTTTGGATGCAGCCTCAAAATTTGGAAACCGGATTAAGGACAAATAGTGCTGAGATTCCCTACA